AGATAAGATAGATAGATAGATAGAGTAGATAGATAGATAGAGAGAAGGAGAGAGATAGAGAGAGAGAGAGAGAGAGAGAGAGAGAGAGAGAGAGAGAGAGAGAGAGAGAGAGAGAGAGAGAGAGAGAGAGAGAGAGAGAGAGAGCACAGAGACAGAGAGAGAAAGAGACAAAGAGAGAGAAAAGAAAGAATTGGATTAAGTCTTAGAGTTCACTCTCTCTCTCTCTCTCTCTCTCTCTTCTCTCTCTCTCTTCTCTCTCTCTCTCTCTCTCTCTCTCTCTCTCTCTCTCTCTCTCTCTCTCTCTCTCCTCCCTCACTCATGTCCATGCTATTTGTGCATATGTCAAACAAAGAGAGAAACAGTGAAAGATAAAAAAGTGTGTATGAAAAAAGAACAATTACAAAGAAAATACTGCATAAGTGAGAGGGATAGGAAACAAATGAATGAAAGCAGGAAAAACATAGAGAAAGAAATTGTCAATCAGTGTAAGTTCGTCTATAATAGACAAACACAGACTATATTCACACCAGAGAAGTAGTCATTCCTTTGATTACACGGGAATGCACACACACATCACACACGCACACACACACACAAAACACACACACACACAACACACACACCACAACAACACACACAGACACACACAACACAGACACACACTTACACACATAAATACACACTCCAACACGCACACACAAACATGTTCATAAACAGATACACTTAAGCACACACAGACAAACATGCACTGAAACACACACAAAATCCATCATACACAAACGCACACAAACACGCTCTTACACACACACACACAATAAATAATTCCCTACACTCATTACATTCCCATAAATCTCATTGACACGAAAGAATAAAAACAAGAAACAACAAGAAAACAAATAAAGAAAGTTATATAAAAAGTAAAGATAATGTCAATCATAATGTTACACATAAATTATCAAGAATTATAATAATAACAGTCATAGAAATGATAATAATGATAATCATGATAATGTTAATGATAATGATAATAATGATAATAATGATGATAATAATGATAATAATAATAATAATAATAATGATAATTATAATGATAAAAATGATGGTAATAATGATGATGATGATAATGGTAATAACAATAATGATAATAATAATGATAATAATAGTGATAATGATAATAATAATGATAATAATGGTAATGATAATGCTAAGGAAAATAATCATAGTGATAAATAGTGTTGATGAAAATGATAATATTGATGATAATAATGACAATGATAGTAATAATAATAATGATAATAATAATAATAATAATGATAATAATAATAATGATAATAATAATAATAATAATAATAATAATAATAATAATAATAATAATAATAAATAATAAAATAATAATGATAATAGTAATAACATGATAATAATAATTATGATAATGATGGTAATGAAAATAAAGATTATGATGATAAAAGTAATCATACTAGTGATAGCAATAACAATAGTGGTAATGTTAATGATATGAATGATAATTCAAATGATAACGATAATAATAGAAATATATAATAGTGATGATAATAGTAGTAATAA